TGCCAATAGATGTAAAAGTATCTTTTCATATCATTAACTACAAATTCAAACTGCATTTGGAAAATGTTTTTATCAAACAGTTGATATATTTTGGTGTGTTGTAGTAAATGTTACCTTAACAGGTAGAGTATATTAACTCTTACCCATAGACTATATCATTCTCTGAAATTGTATCAAGTACTATTGAATGAGAAAACAAGTCAGTATCAATTACAAACATAAAGCACTTAGTATTTTCGCTAGTACATAATAGGTGCTCAATAATTCAGTTTTTTTCTTTTTTGGCAATCAAATCAGTCCATTGTTCAGAAAATAATTTGACATTGTTCCAATTAGTGGGAATCTGAAAGAACCACATTTAATGACTTGTATACAATATTTTGTTTAGTCCACTAAAGAGATTTTTTTTAAATTTGATACTCCATAGCCAAGGAGAAAATAAATATGCTTTCTTGACTTTAAAGACCTCACATTCTAGTAGCAACATCTAAAGAAAGATAGCTAAAGTAAAAGTATATAAACCAGATTAATTTTAATTAGAGTATAAGAAATTAAATTCTAAAGTTGCAGGATCATAAAACATTATTTATAGCAGAATTTAAAACATTAAACACATAAAACATTATTTATAGCAGAATTTGCATGTTCATCAAATGTATATTGAATAATTAATGCTTAATAAATACAGGGCCTTAAAATACTGTGTGGGGAGTAATGATGAATAAGACAGTCTTTAACATAAGAAACTTCTATTTTAGTAGTGAAATATGCTATCACTGAAATACTTATAACAGGGCAGTATGTTGATAAATCCCAAGTGATAATATAAGTTCAGAATCATAGAAGAAAAGGCAGTACGCTCCTCGTTTTAACTATGATAGCAAGAGAAGACTTCAGGAAGGAGACCACATTTGAGAGGATTGGGTAGACAGAGCCAATCAGGATAGAGAGAAGGTGCAGGATAGGAGTGGGAAAGAGCTGATAACGGGCCTCTTTACTACCCAAAACTAACAAAACATTTAAATCACCTTTAAATAAAAATATTCACTAAAGTACCTGATTTAATGATATTTTTATCTTCGTGATTATTTATTTTACTGTGGATATATTATAGGTAAAATCATTTTTAATTTCATCATAGATGAACATATAAGAACAAGAATTCAACAGATGTGCTAAATAGCCTAATTTCAAAGTATATATTTTGCAATTCAGACTTTTATATACATCTTTAGCTGTCTTAAAATGTCTCATACCTGTTCTCCACAGGCAAAGGAGGAAAGATGGTATTTATTAAGTGACTAAACCTACGAAGCACTTTTCTGGATATAATTGTATGTATGAATTATCATTCCCATTTAATGGATGAAGAAACTGAGACTCAAAAAACTTGAACTACTCCAAAGTAAAAAGGAAGTATAAGAAGTAGATTCAACTTTGTGTCTGTCAAAGCCTTTGTTCTTTATTTCTCACCTCATGATTTTCAAGAATCAATAATAAAAATACATTCTATGTATGTATGGTCATTTTCTTCTTGTTCCATCGTTTAGCAAAAGAAACCCTTGCTCGAAAAGGTTATAATTTTCCCAAGAGCATTCCTTTAGAACTAGGATTTGAACTCAGTCTTTTGACCCTTCATTCCATGGGACTTATACACTATGTAAAAGACCCAATTTTGTCCTATATATGAAGCCCAGGATTTTTTCACATCCGATGGCATTATAAGTACTACCCATGGGAACTCTCTTAAAAATGTCAGCAGCTATGTGTGTTCTGTCTTCTACGATTTAAGCTTCAGTTCCAGGTCTCCAAAGAAAACTTACAGAGGGGCAGACACTTCATGCCTTATGGGGTGTGATTTCACTTTTCATAAACCATGCAAGCCATGGATTTATCATGGCTATACATTTATCAAAACATCTATGTATCTGATAGGAATTATGACTTTTGAGCCCCTGATCACTTTTTTTTTCTTTTCATTTTTCCCCTCTCTGTGGCCTGGCATAGTCGTTAACATATTTTCCCACGTATCATATGGTTTTGTTTGTTGTCATTGTTTTGCCTAAACTAATGAAGTTTTACTCCCCTCATTTAAGAAAGTTTTTCTTCTTCAAGGAAAAAGGAATTTTCTTGCCAACAGTTTCCCCGTTTTCATGGAAGTACAATTCTCAAAAGAATTCATAAAAATTGATTTTATAATGGAATCTTTTTTTACTAGAATGTCATCATTCCAGGAACATTTTAGTTGAACATTGTAAGGGCAGAAAGTCATAAGAGTGCTTTAATAACTGGCATTATTCAATGCCCTGCATTTTGCTAGCTTCAAATCTCCACTAAATTTACAAATGGGAATGTACCAATATGGAATCATTACTTTTCAAGGCAATAATCTACAGGTATTCTGTAATAAAATATTAATTTTTATAACTTTAAAATGATATTTGGATAACTTTCCACTCATTCATTTAAAGTTTAAATTTAACTAAAAAGTTATAAACCCATGCCAGAGGCCTGGAAGGAGGGATGTCGGGGGGAAGAGGAAGAGGAGGCCTAAAGTAACACTCGTGAGATTCCCCTCTTCCCACCCTCTTTCTGCTCTCATTAGGAAGACATTTCTCCAATGCCTTCTATTTCACCTTGTTTCCTTTTATTTCTTGTTTATTTATTTATTCCTATTCATTACCTCAATTATTGTATTATTCCCTCAGACACTTTTCCATATCCTATAGCTTTATGTTCATGAAGATTTCTGATTCTTACTAATTCATAGTTTGCTTAGCTGAAGTTTAGAAGATACAGACTTAATGTTAGGATGAATAAGAGTTATTTACAACATTTTGAGAATGTATTTTTGTCCTTTAAACTTCATCTTTAACAGTAGAATAGCCTAAATTGATATTTTTCAACCTCAGCACTATTGACATTTTGGGTTTGATAATTCTTTGTTGAGATTTACAAGAATTTTAGCACAATCCCCACTCTCTACTCACTGGATGCCAGTAGTCTCTCCTGAGTTGTGACAACCAAAATTATCTCCAGACATTGCCAAATGTTCCCTGGGAGGTAAAATTACCCCTGGGTGAGAACCACTGGTTTAAATGATGATAATGATGATGATGACAACAACCATTACAGTGCCAGGCTCCGGTGCACATTATCTAATTCACAGGAAAGCTGCTCTGACTCCTATCTTATTGATAAGATCATTTGAGCACAGAGAAATCAATTCAGTCACTAACACCACAAGGCTAGTGAAGAGGAAACTCAGAATTCAAACCCAAAAAGTCTGACTTCAGAGCCCACATTTGTCAGGGTATAGCTGGCTTGCCGAAATCACACTAAACTAGAATAAAACCCATAAAAACATGAATCATTTCGAGTTTAGCTTTTTTTCCCATGATTGAAATCATTTAAACCTTGGAAAAGAGACATCCTACAAATTGAAAACCTCTGCAGATAAATAAGTTCCCTTATTCCCTTCATTCTGTTTGTTGAGCTGCGGAGATCCCATCGAAGTTCGGATTACCCAGGCAGATATTTAAAGTTCAGGTCAGGGAGTTAGATTTCTGGGATCTTATCCTAACAAAACCACACTCATGAGCATGAGGCCCACTTACGTGTTCTATTACTTTATCATCATCACTGAAATGTTAAGAGGATCTGTTTCTTTTTATTGAGTGTCAGTAGTTCCAAATAAATCAATTAAAATTAGTTTATTGGGAGTTTTCCTATCTTCCTCAATATTCAAATATCACTTTTTAACTTTTTAAAACAGTAGCCAGCAAAAATTTAATTTCTTTTTCTGCTTCTCCATCTTAACTGCATGTGGCAGAGGTGATATATCTACTCAAAATAAAAACTCTCTCACAGCATAATTTGTAATGGTTTCATCTTTGTGAGTACTGTGTCTTCAGGAGATGTGGTTTCTCTCACTCTAAAACCTTGCTTTAATTAGTTTTAGGCTGACCATAAAAAGTGAAAAGGAATATAATCTAGTAACCAAAGTTTTATGTCTAACCAAGTGTAATTAATTAATATAATTTGAAATGCATAGTATATGTTATCTTCTTTCAAGTTTCTTTGAAAGTTGATAATAATAATAATAATAACCTATACTTAACTTATATTTATTGATTCATTTCTATGTACCAGGCACTAACCTAACAGTTCCTCATATAGTAACTCATTTAACCCTCATAATAACCACCTCAGTTAGATACCTTTAATATCCCCATTTTGGAAGTGAAGAATTAGAACCACAGAGAGGTAAATAACTTGATCGATGTCACATAGCTGTAAGTGACTTAGTTGGCCTATAAACCCAAGCAGTTTCTCACCAAAGCTGGGCTGGTTATCACTTATATATACTGCCCTCCTAAAGGGATGCTGGGGGGGAGGGAATTATCACCAACTATCTTATTACACATCATTTTAGTAGACAGATGGATCAAATTAGAATGTGTATCTTCTACTGACATATTAGGAAAAAAATGTATTTGATCTTGTAAAATACCACCACTTCTGAAATTCTTGGCTGCAGAGGATAAGAATTTTCTCTTATTAAAAATTAATTAATAATTATAAAAATGGTTTTGAATCCTATGATTCTAAGTTATTACTTGGACATTTAATTTAATTTTCTTCTTTCCTCTCTCTAGTGCAAATATCTGGGTGCCCTTATTCTTTTTCACATCACCATCACCTATATCATTGAGGACACACGTACTGGTTTGCCTGGTTCAGTCCTAGCTTACACTTGTCCCGGTGTTCTGTGCTTCTCAGAATTTATAATTTTTCATGAAGAATTTTGCTTAATCATTGCATTAAAAAAAGCAAGAATGGGTTAAGTCAGCCTCCACATTGTACTTAAAGCCTCTGAAGCAATCTCTTCTTGCAGTATGTAAGACATTTGTTCTGAGAATGGAATTCTCACTTTAACACATGGTTAAATCTGCAGGAAGACCAACAACAGGCTTCTTTCTTTACTTGATCTTTTCCAGATGCAACGTATCTACTATCTCCCTTTCAAGGACAGCATGCATGGTGCCAGCTGATAAAATGTGTGTTTGCAAGAAGCAGCTAGAGACAGCTAACTCCCTCTGGTATTACATGGTGATGGTGGGAGAGATCTACCCTGTTGCCCCTGATCTATCAGCTAGTTGTACCATGGTCCCTGTGTAGTATTGTGACATGCCTGAAGCTGTCAGGATACTAATCCTCTGGGTCAGAGGGAAATATTTAAAATTATAGTCTAGGAATACATGAATTATGTCAGGAGATGGAGGCTGAGCAATCCTGCTAGAAGGTATGAACACTCTGGATATTGTGCTTTAAAAAAATTAATTGTCCAGTGTTAGTCTACAAGTGTTTATTAACTTTTGATTTCTGTGAATTCTTTTTATTTTGCACTAAAATCTTACCATGACAAATGCTTAAAAATAGAAAAATACATTTAAATAATAAGTTCTGAATTTTCATTTCTCAAGAAAGTTAATAATGGCCTTGTAATCTGTGTTGTTTTTTTTTTGTTTGTTTGTTTTGGCATATTAGGGGGATACAAATATTGAGGTTACATATTTAGATTACATATTTTTGCCTCACTCGAGTCAGAGCTTCAAGTGTGTCCATCCCCCAGAGGGTTCACCCATTAGGTGTGAATATACCCATGCCTCCTTCCCCCTCCCACCTGCCTAACACCCTATGAATGTTACTATTATATGTGCACATAACTGTTGATCAGTTAATACCAATCTGATGGTCAGTACATGTGGTGCTTGTTTTTCCATTCTTGTGATACTTGACTTAGTAGAACAGGCACCACATCCATCCAGGATAATACAAGAGGCTAGATCACCATTGTGTTTGTGACTGAGTAGAACTCCATGAGATATATATATATATATATATATATATATATATATCACATTTTATTAATCCACTCATATTTTGATGGGCACTTGAGTCATTTCCACATCTTTGCTATTGTGAATTGGCGCTGCTATAAACTTTCTAGTGCAGATGTCTTTTTTATTGAATGTCTTTTTCTCCTTTGGGTAGATGCCCAGTAATGGGATTGCTGGATCAAATGGTAGTGCTACTTTTAGCTTTTCGAGATATCTCCATATTTACTTTCCACCGAGGTTGTACTAGTTTGCAGTCCCACTAGAAGTGTATGAGTGTCCCTATTTCTCCACATCCACACCAACATTTATTGTTTTGGGACTTTTTGATATCACTAGAGTTAAGTGATAACTCATTGTGGTTTTGATTTGCATTTCTCTGATGATTAGAGTGAGTATTTTTTCATATGTTTATTGGCCATTAGTCTGTCTTCTTTTGGAAAGTTTCTGTTGATGTCCTTTGCCCAATTTTTAATGGGGTTGTTTGATTTTTTTCTTGCTCATTTTCCTGAGCTCTGTATAGATTCTAGTTATCAACCCTTTATTGGATATGTAGCATGCAAATATTTTCTCCCATTCTGTGAGTCAGGAGTCCTCAAACTTTTTAAATAGGGGGCCAGTTCACTGTCCCTCAGACCATTGGAGGGCCATTGGAGAGTGCCGCACACATTCCACACATGCGCACTGTGAGCCCGGGATGAGTCCGCTGCTAAGCAGGACAGGCAGCAGTGGCAAAAACACCCAGCAGGCTGGATAAACGTCCTCGGTGGGCTGCATGTGGCCCTCGGGCCAGAGTTTGAGGATGCCTGCTGTAAGTTGTCTGCTCTCATGATAGTTTCCTTGGCTATGCAGAAGCTTTTAAATTTGATCAGGTCCCACTTATTTATTTTTGTTGTTGCTGTGATTGCCTTTGGGGTCCTCTTCATAAATTCTTTGCCTAGGCCAATGTCTATAAGAGTTTTTCCAACATTTTCTTCTAGAATTCTTATAGTTTCATGCCTTAGGTTTAAGTCTGTTATTCACCACGAGATGATTTTTGTGAGAGGTAAAAAGTGCAGATTCTGTTTCAGTCTTCTACATGTGGATATCCAATTTTCCCAGCACCATTTATTGAATAAGGATTCTTTTCCCTAGTGTATGTTTTTTTCTGCTTTGTCAAAGATTAGATGGCCATATGAGGATGGCTTTATATCTGGATTCTCAGTTCTGGTCCATTGGTCTATATCTCTGTTCTTGTGCCAGGGCCATGCTATTTTACTTAGTATAGCTTGAAGTCTGATAAATTGATGCCTCCCAATTTGTCTTTTTTGTTTAAGATTGCTTTGGCTATACAGGGTCTTATCTGGGTCCATACAAAGCGTAGAATTTTTTTCTAGGTCTGCAAAAATTGTTGATATTTTAATAGGGATTATAGTGAGTCAATATCAAGTACCGAAATTGAAGCAGCAATAAAAAAATTTCCTAAAAAGTCCCAGACCAGATGGTTTCACACCCAAATTTTACCAGACCTACAAAGAACAACTGATGTATATCCTGCAGAAATTATTCCACAACATCAAGAAGGAAGGAATCCTCTCCAACATGTTTTATGAAGCCAACACCACCCTGATACCAAAACCAGAAAAGGAGGCAACAAAAAAGAAAACTACAGATCAATATCCCTTGTGAATATAGATGTAAAAATTCTCAACAAAATCCTAGCAAATCAAATTCAGGTGCTTATCAAAAAAATAATCCATCATAACCAAGTGGACTTCATCTCAGAGATGTAAGGATGGTTCAACATATGCAAATCTATAAATATAATTCAACACATAAATAGAAGTAAAATCCTTATGATCCTCTCAATAGATGGAGAAAAAGCATTCAACAAAATTCAGCACCCTTTTATGATAAGAATGCTTAATAAAATAGGCATAGATGGGACTTACCTAAAATAATAAAAGCCATATATGACAAACCCATAACCAATATCATACTGAACAGGAAAAGATTGAAAGCATTCCCACTTGGAACTGGAACAAAACAAGGTTGCCCTTTGTCATTGCTTATATTCAACATAGTGCTGGAAGTCCTAGCCAGAGCAATCAGACAAGAGAAAGAAATCAAGGGCATCCATATGTGGGCAGAAGAGGTCAAACTATTGCTCTTTGCTAATGATATGATCTTATATGTAGAAAATCCCAAAGATTCTGCCATGAGACTACTGGAATTGATAAACAAATTCAGCAAATTCTCAGGTCACAAAATCAATGTATGGAAATCAGTAGCATTCCTATACACCAACAATAGTCAAAATGAGAACCAAAGTAAAGACTCAATACCCTTCACAATAGCAAAAAGAAAATAAAATGCCTCATAATTTATTTAACGAAGGAGGTGAAAAACCTTTACAGAGAGAACTATGAAACACTGAGGAAGAAAATTGCAAAAGACATAAACAGGTGGAAAACCATACCATGGTCGTGGGTCGGCAGAATCAACATTATTAAAATGACCTTGTAATTTGTAGAAAATGATTCTCGGTAATTACCATCTACCCTGTAGGTTGTGCTGACCACACGAAGAAAAGATCGGAAGACAAAAATCTACTACTTATGCATTAGTATTTTAAGAAGACTATGCTCCAAATCAACATCTAGACACAAGCATGTTTGTTTGTTTTTTTTAACATCAATTCATGACAAAAAATAATATCTAAATATATACAAGTGTGGAGGTGAAATATATATATATATATATAAATCTATAAAGCTGTAAAGCATGTCTTTTCATTTAGATAAGTGATTATTCTAAATTACTCCTATTTCCATTGCAATAGTTTTTGTTTTGTTTTGTTTTCAAGCATGTAAATAGAGAAGAAAGGGGCTGATAATAAGTCCACTTCATGAGGATGAACTCTGTAAAAAGCAATATGTGTTTATTACATTGTCCTTAAGGTTTCAAATAGAAAAACAGCTCAGCTAAAATTACCATAAAGTTATAGTTTTGTTTTTATAGCATTCAAAGAATCAAAGTAAAGCTGTTGAAATTTTATTCTACCAAGGTAAAATACCTGACTTTATTTTGAATGCTACTCTAAATTCAGTTAAGAACTCAACATTGATAAAAAAAATTATTGATTTTTGTTGTGGTAATACAAAAAAAACCTTTGGTGGAGCACAGTAATGTTGTAAAAGCAATGTTCTTACTAAAGAATATATGAAGGAGAGATGTACTTGGCATTAGCTGTAAAACACAAATAATTCATGAATTGACCAAACTGGGGTCAATATTCTATTAATCACAATTGAAGATATGGATGTGAAACTTTGTACATACTAGGAAATATATCATTGATCCACAATTTTTGCCATGAACTGATGTTAAGAAAACCAAACACTGTATATGATAACATATTATTCACTCTTTAATGATCATCTTTGATCTGATTTTAGAAATATTACAGCCTTTATGAACTACTTTGTAAATCAATCTCAGTCTTCAACATGGTATCAAATGTTTCGTAAATGATTTCTCTAAGTTGTCATGGCATTGTATGCAAAAAGAATTGAAAATCTTGGATACATATATTTGATTAGCACCAAAGACTTCAGCTTTTGAAACTTTTACAAGTTGCAATTATAGAAAGCAAAGAGTGGAGATAGAAGACCTTTATATTTATCTCTAATATTCAAGCTAAATGATGAAGGTGAAATGATATATAAGATTTAGATATGAAATTATATAATTGGATTTTGTAATATCTTGAATTTGGGGAAGGATTTTTTAATACAACTTATTTTTTTTTTAGATAAACTTAAATTCTATATGGGAATGAAATTAAGTGAGAAGATTTACACTTTTACAACAATAAATTTGGACAATATCGCAACATAATAAGTATTGAATAGAATATTGGTATTGATATTCAAAAATAGATATTCAATTTGAATAGAATAATAAATACTTATACACACAACTTGCCTAATGGACTTAATCTTATAAATTTTTTGTCAAGGTCAAATTATTCTGAATGCAATTTAAAAGACAGTACTTTAAAATTATTGCATTAAAATAGTTTAAAATTGAATTAAATGGAAGAATTGGGAATTTTCTCTAAAAGATTTTTTTTTGAGCTTTCCAAGAACCTCATAAACTATATATAAATATTTTCCCAATTAAAAAATATTGTGATCAATAGAGAAGAGTCAAGTGAAGAGGTGAAATTTTGTTTTTATTAAACAAAATATATAATTTTTGACAAAATGTAGATGTTTTGAAAAATTTTTATGTTAAATCTGTATTGAAAAAGCATACACACACATATACAGACATTTTAGAAAAGATCAGTGATAGCTATTAGAGAAATATATGACTAACAAATGGATTAAATTCATAAATAATGTTGTACTTAGGTTATTTTTACCATTAAGATAACTATTTAATGCAACAATGAAATCTATTTTTGTTAATATGAATATATATTTTTATTTCTTAAATCTTGAAAATATTTTTTGAAAATAACCATTTTGTGGATATACAAATATATATTTATGTGTATATATGTCAGTAAATATTTCAAAATTAGCATAATTTTAATTGTTTTAGTGCACTTTTGAAATTCAAAGGGGTCTCAGTTTGGACAATAAAATCATATGATCACTCTAAATATGATTAAAACCACAGCACACAGCAGAACTATCTGGTCTGGCCTCTTGGAGGATTCTTGTCCTGGCTCTTTGGCTCCTTGCTTGGAAAATTAGCAAGCAGGATGGGTGTGACAGAGTGACCACAAATAGGAAGCAATTTCACACAAACAGCTTTTATTGCAGAAAAGAAGGAAGCTATACAAAGCAAGAGTAGGTCCCAAAGAGGAACAAGTCAGTCTCCAGAGGGGAGGAAGACTTTAAGGACTTCCAGGTGGTTCCCTTTTGTTGGCCTGGTCCAGGGGAGGGCTAATCGGAGGTGTGGGATGTTACCGGATGATTGATATACATGATTGTCAGGTGTTCTGTGTTCTTCTGCTGTCCCTTCTCTGATTGGTTCCCGACTTCTCCACCCTTAAGACCCTCACTCCTGGCCTCTGTCTGCCACTTGCAGATTCGATCCCTGCCTAATAAAAACCTGCAATGAGACTGCATTTGTTTTCTGTTGGTGTGTGTCCAATAACCACAAGCTAAGCAACATACAACAATACACATTTATTATCTCACAGCTTCCATATCTTAAGAGTTTGCTCTTACAAAGCTGCAATCAAGATAAATGGACTGTATTTCAACTAACACATGGATTAAGTTCAGGAAGCTTGGCAGGGGAAGAATCCACTTTTAAATTGATTCAGATTGTTGGCAGAATCGATTTTTTTTGTTTTGTTTTGTTTTTGGTTTTTTTGTTTTGTTTTGTTTTGTTTTGTTTTGTTTTGTTTTGTGGCTGTATGACTGCAGATCCTGACTTTTTGCTGGCTGCAGGCTGGAGCAGTCCTCAAGGCCACTTACAGTTCCTTGGCATGTAGGCTTCTCCAACATAGCTGCTTACTTCATCAAGCCCACAGGAGAGTCTCTGGCTCCAGTCTACTAGGACAGCCCCCCATATGAGGTAATGACATCCTATTACCTTTGCCATATTCTATTGGTTAGAAGCAAGTTACAGACTCTGCCCACACTCACAGAGAGGGGATTATACAACGATGTAAACACCGGGAGGTGGGAATCACTGGATGTCAATTTCGGGTCTGTGACAAAGATGTCAGATATTTCAAGATCAAAAAGAATGTGTTTGCATAGGATTACATATAACTCACATGTTGTGGTGGTTTTAAAATATGACCAAAAATTCTTTGTTACCGGCATCTATGTCCCTTCTCCTATAATCAGGGCTGACATTAACTGATTCTTTTCCAACCAACAGAATCCTATGGCTGTAATGTGTTGTGACTTCTGAGACTAGGTCAGAAAAGACCGTGCAGATTTTGCCTGGTTTGCTTCTATGACTTGCTCTTAAAGACCCTTCCCAAGGCATATCTTTTTAGAACCCAACCACCATGCTCTCAGGAATCCACGTCACATTGGAGAGGCCATGTGTAGGTGCTACAGTTTCAGCCCCAGTGCAGAAAGAAGCAGCAATCTTGAAAGTATATTCCTTAGCCCCAGCTGTTCAAGACCACAGCCATCCCTAGGTTTTCCAAGGTGAAGCCACACACATTGTGGAGCACGGATGGTTTGTCCTTCATGTGCCCTTTTCTAATTCATGATCCACAGAACCCATATGTGTATGATGAAATGGTTGTTGTTTATCAACTCCAAATTTGAGGTAGTTTGTTTTGCAGCAATAGTAACTATAACATATATTGAGAACTTAAAGTGTAATTTTTGGCTTAAAAATCGTAAGATAAAAAAACTCAGATATAACTCAAAATGCCTGTAGCAAAATTGTGAATAAAAACATAGTGAAAGTTTGGGAATGTCATAGATTAGTATGTAAAATTTTCTCAAGTACACTTCTTTATGCATATAAATTACATATATATTTAAAAACATAAATCTTTTTCTCTCAAACTTGTTATCAGAAATTAGTTCATGAAGTTTATATTCTGAGTTCAATTTTTCATTAAACCATAACTTGCCAAGTACAGCATTTTACATTTAAAACAGCTGTGACAATTCTATTTACTGTGTAGAAATCGAAAATCAATGAAGAATACTAAAATACACTTAGCCCATAACTAAAGCCAGTTGTTAACTTAGCAACATAAAAAAATTTAAATTAAATACTATCATCTAAATGAAAAATATATTAAAATAACATGTTATGTATAGAAATAAAAGGTTATATATAAAAAGCAAAGTTTTTGTGATCAGCAACCAAATGTGGGTATCATTTGCTTTTCTATATTTAATTTGAGTTTTATTTCAAGGTTGAGTTGCAGCATTTAGATGGTATGAATAATGTAAGATCTTTCTTGGACCCTAACATATGGAAGTGAAAATATTGTGATTTGTGGCTATTATTGCAAACACCATGTCAATAAACTTAATAATATTTTAATAAAAATTCTGAAAAAAATCTTAGAATCATATATACTTTTAAAAAGTACAAAAGATGATGCCTCTATGAAACTTCTCCTGTCATCACAAGAGTACTTAAGCTATACTAAAAGAAAATGATTAAATGTGATTTACAGCCACTCTCCATCCTTGACTGCATAGCTTCTTCCATTACAAGACAGTTTTATGTAAGAATTAATCCCAGATTTTCAAAGCTGTGATTGCAAAGGATTGAAAAGTTGATAAGAGGGAATTGAAATACAAAATATATTAAGAAGTTGAAAAAGGAAGAAGTTGTAAGAGCTAAGGGTTCATGACCCAGAAAATTACATGTATGAATTCTAGGAAAATCCAAAAACTCAAATTTCTGCACTATTCCATTATCTTTGAGGAATAGTGGGGAAAAAAATTACCAATGATAGTGGTAAAATGAGGTAACTATTTTTAAAACTGAAGGCTTAAAATATTAATTCCAGGTAGTGTGTTAATTGAAATTATAAATGGGACAATTTATAAGAACAGAAGATTGACATGTTTATCATTATGGCCAGCATAACTTTACTAAAATAAATCACTTTAAACTAACTTCATTATTTTTGACAGACTTATTAGCCTGGTAAGACAAGGAAATGGAGTTTAATATGTAGGTATTTCACCTTAATAAAACAAAACTCAGAAAATAAAATATGATAACTAAAAGGAAAAGTTTGAGGAAATTTATTGTGGAAAAAGGAGTAGTATGTTCTGTGTGACTACAAAGATTAGAATTTGGATCGGTAGGTGAAAATCAAGGTTCATTGTAATGAAGAGTAGGTTTCCCCAATAAGATCATGGTTAACTAATCTGAACAGCTTCAGGACATACAAGGTCCTCATTATTGGATGTGTTAAAATATAAAGTTAAAAAAGAAAAGAAAACTTATGCTTTGGAAGGATCTATCAGTTATCTATTGTCATTAGGGTTACATATGTCTTGTATATAAAGAATATGTTCCATATTTTATGATTTTTGTAATGACTTTGACAGGGTTCACTAAATGTCCGCTATATTCAACTTTGGTCAAAAACAAAGTTACAAAAATATCACAGAGCTACTTTTCTGCCACAGTAATTGGTGCTTAAATCAATTAAACAACAACACTAGTTGAAAGCAATACTCTACAAATAAAGAACTGGACCATCCCTTACAATTTGTCCTGTACTTGTGGCTAAGGGAAGACCAACAAGGGGGACTGAGAATTTAAAATATGTATATTGTTTTTATATTCAAAGAAGGAAAAGAAAAATAACTTCAGTTTTGGCCAGAGTCCCAAAACATGACAAATAGCTACCATTAATTAAAGAGATAACTTCAAATCTGTACACATACTCTGAAATTAGCCTCACTTCTTAAAATCAGCAAATGTATGATAGCACCAACCTTTTAAAATCAGCCAATCAATGACAATTCTAGATAACACCAAATCAGCCAGTGTCTCTCTCCAATGACTATGCTTCTAAAAGTCAAGTCCACAGTAGCCTTACTTGCATGACCACACCAACAGAGCTGAAAGTCCATTAAAAACATACCCACTTCTGAAAGTCCACCAATCTCCAAATATCAGGCTTTAAAAAAACTGTATAGAAAATCAAGTTTGCCTTTGGAGTATACCTTACAAATTTGTAGCTGAATGGAAAGTTAAAATATTTCGCATCAGATAGCAAGTTCACTTATTTTTAGTTTGCAAGTTTGCAAACCTTTTAATAGTTCAACAACTGATTATAGTTAGTTATGAGTTTGCATTTATGAGTACCAGATGCACTGTGGAGGCACGAAATTGTCAAATGGAATCTTTTCAATTCCTGTAGTGGCTGTGATTATTTATTTTTATTTGTATGTATTTGTACCCTGCAATGCAAGGGTAAATTTTACAATAAATTTTCTGAACTAGGCAGGTGTGAAGGTAGTGAGTTATCTCACTTGATTATTCATAGTCAGTTATAGATTGAACTCCCTGTTCTAATCTTTCCCCTCTTCTCACTACTGCACTTGACTAGTCTTAAAAAAAATTCTGAAAAATTAAGATTTATTAAACAAGGAAAAAACTATTGAAGCACATTGAGCAGTATGTATTTGTTAATTCAAGTGGGAAAATCAGATATAAATCAGCATATTTCAGCTAAGATCTTCAACTATTACTAGTACCAAAGAAAGAGATAATGGCCTTTTTTTTTATGAATTCAGAAAAAGAAGGCAAGGTGTACTGTCTCTCCATGCTGAATATTTTCATTAGTCCTTCAGCTAAAATGACTGATTGTACTGCTACTGAAAGTAACTTCTGATTCAAAATTTGCAAGAAAGATTTCAATTAAAATAAATAAAGACTAACTTCATTTACTATTACAGAGATTATCAAAGATATTAACACAAATGTTTCACCTTTTTACAGCATAACCATGGATGCAAGCAATCATAATACAGGAAAAAGAAGTCCCCTTTCTTCGCACAGTATTTTTCATTGTGAAAAAGCCTTGCTCATAAGATGAAACTTGAGAGACAACAGAAATGTTTGCATAGACTCTCTTATTAAATTAACAGTTAATGAGAAAAAAATGTACTGCTTCTGCTAGAGGTAATACAAATATAAATTTGGTGAATGTTTGCTTAAAGGTAAAAACAGTGTTTATTTGAAGAAGCAAAGCATGAATGACTCTTTGGAAGGTGCTGGCTATTTTTTCCATATTCTAAAAATGCTCCTCAATCATCATCAGATATCCTTTCCATTGAAATTGAATTGTTATACAATTATTCTTACTTCAGTGGTTATTCTGTTCAAACTCAAGGATTAAAGAATTTTTGTGATTAGATTGGCATTTAGTATTTTTTAATTATCTCACATTCAAAAACTGGTAATTCTAACAAATGCAGCTATGAGAATCCTCAATTCATTTAAATCTCTAAAATCATATTTCGATTCTAAAGAAAATACTGCCACAATTATTTTTGACATTTGAATAACCCATTAAGGGAAGTCGGACTATCTTTCAGTAACAGGATTATGAAAATTAAAAGAGCAGTGTTATTGGCATACTTTGCTAAAAGGCACTGGTTGAATATGTTAAAGAAAGAATTTTTTGAATAATGTGTCATTTTAAGTGTCAAAGCTATTTTTAAAAAAGTAACACTAACAAACAGGAAAATAAGTTCTGATCTGAAGTGTATAATTGTTAAGTTTACATAACTAAGAGAAGATTTTAACTTTTTTCACATAAAATGTTAATATACTGTCCTTAAATCATTCTTGATAGTTTCTGATATTTGGCACTGTCTTTTAATCTTCTTTATTTAAAGTTTATTAGTATTTAGATTATGATTTATTTTAGGTTCTATCTCTAGTAAATAAACTCCATTTTTTAAGATAACGGAGATATTTGTGAGCCCTCTTGCTATGTGTGTTTATCTGTTCACATCCATTGCCCTCATTGCTAAATTGGGGAGAATACTTTTGTCGTTTCTTGTGTACACTAAACACAGGAATGTACAGATTGTGAATACTGAACTCTTATCAGTGATCTTGGCATTTGATTCATTCACTTTATGATTTGGAGGACAGAAAATATCCGTGCTTAACTAATTTTGTGTTATCATGGAAAGTCTTTTTATGGAAAAAGAAAATGGTGGTATCTTTCCTTTGACCCATCATTAATTTCAGCATTTTATTATATCTCACCGGTCTGAAAGTTATTAGAACACTGAGCTTGCTTAACTTTGAAAAACCAAAAGTAATATATTAACATGTTTATGCTTCTCCAAAATATATATGAAAAATAAGTATTTTTTTCTTATAGCTTATGAGGTATTCAACAAGAATGTTTGACTTTTTCTTTCTAGGGGCAAACTAAAGAGCAGATGTATATGATGCTTCCTGATTCTCTCATATATTGAAATTAGATTATTTTCTTAGTGAAAATATTTAGTAAAATATGTAACTTGATTTTATTCCATAAGTACATACAAAAGTTATATTGATTCAACATTTGTTCCCATAGAGAAGTAGTTTGTTGGTTGTCTAGAGAGTTTGGTGGGGAGAAAGGTCATTCATAAAATTGTCTCTTCTAAAATTTCCTTCCATTTTTTTTTTCTTTTAAAGGAAAGCATTTAGAGAAAAATAAAATGCAGCAAGGGAGTTGGCCCAGTTGCTTTAGGCTTCACTACGTACCAATGAATGTTTTATCTACAGAGTTCTTGCCAAGTTTCCTACCGACAAAGAAGCCCTGAAATATGAGCCTTTAAGTCAACTCATCAGAAAACAAATATTACATATAAATTAGTTTGAGGAAAAGAAAATCACACACATTCTTTAACTTCCATAGTTATTTTGAAACAAAACAAATTCCTCCTACCTCTGCCAAATATGTGGCAAGAACACATAATTAGGTACATTTTAGGCCTTAATATTGATTTTATATTTCTAGATAAGTTTGAATTAACTTCGTGTTTCTAAAGTTTTCTAGATTTATATTCTGTAACTTTCAAATACATTTCAAAGACTACATTTAATTTTCAGAAGCTTTTGATCAGGACAAATGAAATTTTAAAATGTTAGTATATTTATGCTAGGTGGACATATTGAAAACATGATGAAAAAACAATGGAATTTTCAAGGGCTATTGACACATAAAGCTTGTTTTAACATCTTTTTTTTATTTTTAAGTTAATAACAAATGAAATGTTTTTCTTGAAAATATTTCAACTGGCAGAAAACCTAAATCTACAAAACAATTATCATTAGTATGATACTAGCTATGAATTTCACCCACTCTGAATGCAGGGAATTATGTAAGTATTTTATAATCACTAATATTCATGCAGTGGGTACTACATTGCAGGGAATATTGTAAGTACACTTTTAGGTGTATTAATTTTTCACATTTCTGAGTATAAGTGACTTTTAAAAAATGAGAAAACTAAAGTACATGAATGTTAATTAGCCAATGATGATGGTAAGTGTAGTTAACATTATTTGATTTGTTGATATTTGAACTCATAATGTACAATGTATGGTAAACATGGATATTTGCTATTCAAGTCCCCTGATGGAAGCAGAGGTAAAAAAAGGGGTAAAAAGGTGGCTATTCCATTAAAGATGGGCCAGAGGCTATTGTCAGGTTTACTTTACTCTTTACCTACATCCTTTACCCAATCCTGCTTCCCTCCCCTCCCTTTCACAGGTATTAATTCCAAGAACACTTTCTTGAAGGCTAAACTCCATCTCAGTATCTGCTTCCCAGAGAACTCAATGTAGAATGGTATCTCCATGTAATAATTAAACACATTTGTGTCTATGATATACATTTCTATACATTTCTGTATTATATATACATATAATGTATGTATATCATACATTTCTATGATATACATTTCTAACCTAATTCCATAAGGTTTTAACAAAAATCTTTATACATGTATTTATAGGCATTGGCGAAAAATTCATATTCAAATGTGTATGATTTTTTTTATTGGATGGCTAATTTTGCTTGAGTTTAAGATTCCACTTCCTATCCTAAAGACTTTGTACCTTGATTTAGAAAAGTCACAATAGTTCTCTAATTATAAATCTCCCTACCAACTTTAACAGTGTATCTTTTAAGATTGATGGTTTCCTATCTATTTTCTACAGTGCCAGTTTCTGCAGTAATTAATGAGTGACCAGTATTGCCACCATGTCAACTCTCTAAATCACCTTCCCAAACTCCTGACTTAGAAATCCACTACAAATGTGGCACTGTTTTTTTTCTCATAAATCAATCCTGTCACATAGACCTCAGGGTTATTTTTTTCAGCAACATCATAGGTGCTTTGCAATTTGTTTCAATCCAGCCAAATAATGTATTACAAATTTTATTGTTTACATTTTTGAAATAGACAAACTAAGATATTCACTTTAAAATTTTCCTATTGAATAGATTGAAAAGGTGCAACCATGCCACCTTCCATGACAAAAGGGACTTTGCACATGTGATTAAATCAGGGCTTTTGAGTGAGGTGATTATCCAGGTGGGCCAGATGTAATCACAGGGAGCCCAATAGGGATACTAAGGCAGCAGAAAGGTCAAGAGTCAAAGAAGGAGCTATCAGAGTGGAAGCAAGAGTGAAGGGGAGGGGACAGAGAGAGAAAGAGGGTGAGTTCCATTGTAATAGTGAGTGCATGTGGTATTTGTGTACTTTGTGCACAGATGGCAGTAAAACTCAAGGGAAATCAAGCAGGTGGGAGGGGAGAGGATGGGATGGGTAAAATCGTACCTAACAGGTAAACTATCTGGGTGATGGGCAGGCTTATAACTTCAACTCAAGCAGTACAAAACCAATCCATGTCACCAAAACGTGTGTAACCCCATAATATTCTGAAATACAAAATTTAAAAAGAAAGAGGGAGAGATATTTGAAGATGCTATGCTATTGCCTTGATTTATCCCAGTGAGACTCACTTTGGGATTTCTGACATTCAGAGCTATAAGATAATAAATTGTTATTGTTTTCAAGCAATTAAGTTTGTAGTAATTACTTATGCAGCGATAGGAAATTAATACTCTCTGGTTGACTCTTTGATATTCTATTCAAGGCTACAAGCTTGGTAGAGCTAGAGTAGCTCATTTTTGTTGTTATGCTTTGAGTGGAAATAAGTATTTTTCACAATTTCACAAGTCTTGCACTTAATGTTTCCTGTTAATAAGATAGTGCAGGAAAGTAAATATTGTATCTATATTTAAAAAAATCTCTGAAATTTTTCATGAGAATGAGTAGCTGTCAAGTCCATTCACCTACCATAGCATGGAAAATAAATGTCCAGTATTTACAGGAGAATGCATCCATCTTCTAAAGTTCACAAAAGAAGTTTAGATGAGAAGATGATGTGGTGGAAACTGTAGTCTGCCTCCAGAGCCTCATTCTGAGAAGGAGCTGTTGCACTACTGTGTTTCCCTGAAAACATAACATAAGCCCTAGCAAGATATCTACCCATAACATAAGCCCTAGCAAGATATCTAAGCATTTGCACAATATAAGCCCTTCCCCGAAAATAAGACCTAGTGATGGGCGTGGCTAAGCAGCGCATCTGCACAACCCATGCATTTCATCACAGAGCGGTAAAGAAGACCAGCAGCCCTTCTCATCTGCCCCATGAGAGCTCTATTGCTCAACATGAGAGATTGGGGCCCATGGTTCTAAAGGAAATAGAGTCACAAGAAATTCAGGGTGGAATTCAGGGTTTGGAGAGTTATGATGATGTTCCAGAAGAAGATGACTTAACTATATTTGAATAAATGTAGATTGTTGTATCATACTTAAAAAAAATAACACATCCCCTGAAAATAAGCCTTAAGGTGTCTTCTTGAGGAAAATTAAATATAAGAACCTGTCTTATTTTGGGGGAAATGTGGTAGTTTCTGGGGGTGCTGACAACAGTCTTCAGCTGCCAGCCCCCTCTAGGGATTGCCTCAGCTGCAGACAAACAGCCACCTCACCCAAGGTCATGCCCCTTCCCAGGGCAGCCCGAATATTATACAAAGACCACTTCCTGTCAGAGAATAAATGACAGGCATCAGGCCAACCGGGGACAATGCCAAAGACCATTCTAGAACCAGAGCTCCCGTGAGGTCAGCTGCCACCATCACCAGGCCTGACTTTCCTCTCTACTCACTCTTGCTTTCTTCTTCCCTTCTCTTTCCCAGCTGCTGATCCCAAGACCCATCTTTAGTAAACATCCTGCATACTAAACTCCACCTCAAAAATCTGCTTCTTTTAGAATCCAGACTGCAAGAGACAAGATTCCTACTTCTGCCTCTGCCATTAAATATTTGTGAGTTGAACAAGTCAGCCTTCTCAAACCTCAGTTGACATACCTATAAGATGAAAAAACAAAACAAAACACAAACACAAAAAACCCTCCAATTCTTACTTTTCTCCTGCTGATCTCATAGGAAAACACTTAAAAAGTGCTTTTTGTTCTTTTAATGAAGCTTATGCAGTCTTTTTTTTCTGCTGGAGCAGGACTATTTTCTCTCTTCTTAATAATACATTAATTTAATAATAACAACATAACACGTGTTATATGAGTAAACATCTAAGATATACATCTGTCATCCTCCCCACTTTTCTCAACTATTGTATAAAGTTTGTCCCACTCTAAACCATTCCCCTCGTCGTCTAGAACCTACTGCCACTACTTAATCTCTGACCTTCCTTCAAAAGTCTTATAAATGTCCTTTAACATGTAATGAGACACCATTACATGTACAACTATATATGTCATTTTTAA